GTAGTGTCTTGAAGGCCGGAGTTTTCTAGATTTGAGGGTATTTTAGACGGGGGTGTGGTGTTTGTTGTGAAATTTCAATTAAGGGAGTGTGGGTGTTTGTGTTTGTATTTGTTCTCGTTGTTAAGGTTCGTTAATTTAAACACGAGGTTCCTTACTACTTTTCCACTTCTTGAACATCTTTACTAATCACCAAACAACCACTCCAATAATCAACACCAATTAATACCACCACAATACCAACAAAACTTGAACACAACTACACCAAAATCAACCAAGCCACAACCAATTACAACAACAACACAACGAATAATACCATTTTTCTTAAAATACAAGTTAGTAACAATAACTAACCACAAACAATAATCCAACATTACCATCCAAGAACACCGATTTTTCGCATAAAAATCACACCATGACTAAAACATTCATAACAATCAAATACTTTGCATAAAAAATAGAAATATTGAAAGAAAGTAGCAAAGAAAGAGATTATACCACACAATTAGTGCTCATACACACCCAAAATAGCCCAAGAACCACCTTCTCCAACAAAGCTTCAAGTGTTCAACAATGGAGGATTTGAGGTTTTTGGAGTGAGAAAGTATGGAACTTGTGGAAATAGGTGTATAATGTGATGAATTTGTGTAAGATTGAAGAGGAATTGATGGATTTGTGTGAATTTGAGAGATTTTGAAAGTTAGGGTTTGAATTTTTTTTCGAGGAGAGAGAAAGAGTGAAATTCGTGGGTAGGAAGATTGTGAATGAAATCGGGAGGAAAAAAGGATTAAAATCTTGATTTTCAGACCTACGTGCCCGCGCATAGAGATGTTGCGCGCCCTCGAGGAGGTTGCACACTCCCCGCGCAGAGCTTCTGATTTGACACTTCGATTTCTTGATTTCCTTGTGCGCGCCCGCTGTAGGCGTTAATCGAAGCGCCCCTACTTAAGCATGTGTTAATATCCTTGGCACTCATAGAAAGCTGTATTTGACATGATACGATTAGGGACAAATAAATTATGGAGCCGCCAACAAGTTTTTAAGGAACTTGTAAACCGTTCACGGATCATTTAAGGCAACCACGAATAAGGGACAACGATAAGCAACAATGATTGACCCGTGAAGGTTACACCCCATTCAAAATCCATGAGATTACTAACTTCACATGGTTCAAAACCACTAAAGGAGGATCAAGAATGATGGTACGAAGTAAGTCATGGAGTTACATTCGCTCTTATTGGCCTCTACTCGATTATCACTGTGAAAAGTTGATAGGCCGTCGTCGAGCCTACCAAAATAAATCCTATCTTTGTCTCACTAACTATTAGCAAGGGTAAGAAAGGATTGAACCCAAGAGAGGCGTTTAATCAACCATCAAGATACTACCGTTCAAATAAGCTAAATGAAGTCGAAATTGGTTTGGTTTTAAGTAACTTCTACTACTTCAAAACAACTAAAAACTAAGGGGAGATTAATAATATTAAGAGGAATCTAGGGCCTGGGTTATACCACTCAACTTCATCATAAATCACAATTAGCATGCAACAATTAAGGTAAAATAGGGGATAATATAGGGGAAGTCATCTAAGGCACCCAACTACTCTCTCAAGCTAGAGGGATTACTTGAATCATGAATACAACCTACTATCGTGGTTACAAAGCATAAAACATGTGTTAAAGCATAATCACGATGACATAAACATTCCCTTGACCATAAATTCCTATTCTCATGGCATTTCAAGTCAATTAAGCATAAGGAAGCTAACTCAAGTTCATCTCTCGATCCTTCGTTGAGGAAGCTTGGATAAATAGTTCTAGCAATGGCCATATACAAGAACTAAACAATTAAACCACTTAAGATCAACTAAATAACATCCCACAATAACCAAATTAACACATGCAACTAGTATTAGTGACTACATTGAGGGTTTTACCCAAACCCTAGAAATTAGACTACTCACAATCCATGGAAATTAAAGCAATAAAAGATTTCAAGTAATTCATGAACAAGTTTAAACTAAGAATTAACATAATTAACAATCTAAGCATACAAGAATCAAGCAAGTAATTAACAACTAAGTAGAGAGAAATGGAAGAGAAGAGTAAGAAATAGTTACTATGAAGCTTTAAAGTGAGCAACAATGGTGGAACTTGTCTTCTACAATGATTGAAGTTGAATATTTCTAAGCTAATAATTAAAATCTAACTAATGATTGAGAGTTTTGATGTTCTAAAATTGAAAAACTAAGAGAAAGCTCTAAAAACTTCGATAATCCTACAAAATGAGCTCAAGGGGGTATATATACCCTTTTCAAAACAAAAAGGACGGAGAAAACGAGGAAAGTGCTCGGAAACAAGCTTGCATGAACGTGCCAAATTTGGCACGGATGTGTCGAGTTTGGCACGGACATGAAGAAGGGTGAAAAAGTGGGCAGTACCTACTACAAAGAATCGCGGGTCTGCACGAACATGCTAATTTTGGCACGGACGTGCCTTTTTGTTGCACGTCCATGCAAAATTCCCTGCCTTGACAGCTTAACTTTGGGAGACTGTAACTTCTTCGTTTCTTGCTAGAAATGGACTTGTGACCTGTCGTTGGAAATCTCTTGAGACCAAATTTAATCTCTAATTTGAATCACTTTAAAAAGTTGTGTAGATCAAAATTTATGGTCAGTTAAAGTTGACGCTTACGTAAACAACCCTTCAAGGCTCTCCAAAAGCTTTTGATTTCTCTTTAAGGCACTCCTCCTTCTTCCTCCACGGCTCTATCAACCAAGATTGCCTTTATCCTTTCTCACTCATGCTTGATGACATCCATAGTGCTAAAAATATCTACATTACATCAAATCCACAAACAACCCGTGAAGCATGGATGGTACAAAATTTGCATAAAAATAGGATAAATAATGAACTTTGATGTCGAGTAATAACAAAAACAAGGTTCAAAAGTACCCTAAAACCATACCATATAACAAGTTATCAAAAGTATTCCTGCGATCTCAAAGGCACACAATACAAAGATTCAATTTGCTCCAAACTAATATTAGGCTAAATTGGTTGAATATTAATGCAACATATAATTCTAAATATCTTGATCACTTCAATTAACAACAATTCATATTAAAAAGGATCCTAAACCGGTCTTCCAAATTATCTTGTTAAGCGTGATTTACAATTACATATTCCCTTTAACATGCAACATGGTGATCAACAAATAATAGAATAATAATAACATTGGAAGCAATTTAACCATAATAAATCTAACAATTAATATATGACAAACATAACAAAAATCGTTAGAAATATAACAGGAACAAAAGGAACATGATTATTTACTTTTATTGCGTTAGCTTGCAACTATAAAACAATAAACACGTTAGTAATTTCAAGGAATATCAATAATAAAAAGGAATTTAATTCAAATGAAAGTAAAGTTGATTTGGGGTCAAACCCTTAAATAGTTTTACCTTTCACGCCTTAGTTTAAGTATAGAACTTTGGGTATTGTACGGACTCTGGGGAGTGCTTAAGGGATGACTTGTGAAATAGGGAAGGCTAATATTTATGTTAGAGCATAAGAGAGTAAGAGAGAATTATTTGTTGCAATTAAGAGAGGTTTAAGGCTTCGAACGTGAGAGAGAGAAATGAGAATGTCTGTTGGTGTCCTGAAACTGTGAAATCAGCCTCGTATTTATAGAGGAAATGTGAGGAGGGAGGTCTCGAACCCTAGAAATGAGGCGCCGTAGCAGAATAAAGTGTCGTGGGACTGCATAGTCTGTCGTGTGACAGCATTTATGTCGTGGCATGGTAATTGTATCGTAGCTTGGCAGTCAATTTTATCATTTCTGAAGGTCAAAACGCGTAACAAGATAAAATCGGGTAAAGAGAATTGCCATGGCACGGCAGAAATTGTCGTGGCACCGCAGAAACTATTGTGGCCTGGCAGAAACTACTGCGGCGCGATAATTGTGTTCCAAGAAAATTCTTTTAAATTCATTTTTATTTTATTTTCTGTAAAAGCCATGACAATAGGGCGTCATTTTAGCTATTCTGGACTCATTTTAGGTTTAGGGTTTTAGTATTTATTAATCAGGCTCAATTAATAAATAAATGAAATGGATTAAAAATGGTTGGGAAAAAAATGAGGATTTGACAATACTTGACTAAACAATTGGACCGAAAATGTGGACTTCTTTGTAAACTGTGTTTGATTGAAAAAGGATTTTAAGCACTCCTGATATTAAATACTCGACCCGACCAATAATAACGGTGAAAGGTTGTCATCATCGGGTTTGGTTTTGGTGAGACATTTATAGATGTCTACACCCGCGAAGGTGGACAGCGCCCGTACACTCCCCACTGTGCGCTTGCACACAGCTCGCACACAAGGCGCACAAACATTCTGCCTCCAACTTGTCTTCTGAGAATTTCCTATACGCGCCCGCGCACAGGGGGTGTGCGCCCGGGCACTGCAAGTTTTCCGATTTTTTTACTTCTTGAACATTTCTTCTCACACTTTCACACTTGAATCATTCAAAGCACTCATTCTCGTGAGGATTCAACTCCTCACATTATAAAAAAATAGTCAAACCAAATGATCAATCCAAAACCTACCAAAACACAAACAAAAACATGATCAAAACATGGAATAAAATGGAAATTGAAGTAAAAGAAAAGAGAAAGGAAAGTAAGAAAGACGGGTTGCCTCCCGGAAGCGCTTTTGGTTTACGTCGTTAGCTCGACGCTACTTGAATGAGATCAAGGAGGATCATAGTCATAATGCACATCGATGAGGGATTAAGAAACAGGTTTGTCAATTGAATGCCCTTCATAATAATGCTTGAGCTGATGACCATTCACTATGAAAGGGGGATACTTATCACTTTTAATTTCAACGGCGCCATGGGGATATACTCTTTCAATCACAAATGGACCAAATCCATCGGGAACTCAATTTTTCGGGAAATAGCTTCAAACGAGAATTGTAGAGGAGGACTTTTTGACCTTCAACAAAGTCCTTCTTCACTATATTAGCATCATGCCAAGCCTTAGTCTTAGCTTTGTATAAGCTATCACTATCATAGGCGTTCATTCGCAATTCCTCCAACTCGTGAAGCTCTAGCAACCGTTGCTCACCCACATTATGGAGATCAAAGTTGATTTGCTTAATGGCCCTAAAAGTCCTATGCTCCATTTCAACCGAAAGGTGGCAACTCTTCCCATAGACTAGCTTGTATGGAATAGTCCCAATCGGAGTCTTGAAAGCGGTACGGTAAGCCCACAAGGCATCAATAAGCTTTGGACCAATCCTTCCGAGTTCGGGCTACCGTTTTCTCTAAGATGAGCTTGATTTCTTGGTTTGTGATCTTTGCTTGACCGCTCGATTGGGGGTGATAAGAAAGTCCCCTCTTGTGAGAAATACTATACTTCGCAAGAAGCTTGTTGAAGGCGTAATGCTTGAAATGAGATCCTTCATCACTAATAATGGCCTTAGTGACTCCAAATCTAAGAAAGATCACCTTCTTGAACAAATTCATCCCCACATTAGAGTCATAAGTGGGAGATGCAACGGCTTCTACCCACATTGAAACATAATCCATCGCCACTAAAATATAATGATTCCCACAAGAAGAAGCAAATGGGCCCATGAAATCAATAGCCCATACAACGAAGATCTCAAGCTCAAGAATTGGGGTTTGAGGAATCTTATCACACTTTGAAATATTCCCCGTTCTTTGGCACCTATCACTACCCTTGACAAAGGACCAAGCATCCTTAAATAAAGTAGGCCAAAAGAACATACATTGTAGAACCTTCGAGGCCGTTTTTTGAGTAGTCATGTGACCATCACATGGTGAAGAGTGGCACATAGAGAGAACACCTTGAACTTCATGATTAGGGACGCACTTCCTTAGAATACCATCAACCCCCCTTTTCAACAATATGGGATCATACCATATATACCTTTTTGCCTCGTGCTTAAGACTTCGATGTTGTTAAGGAGTGAAATCCAGAGGAATAGCGCACAAGCTAAATAATTCATGATGTCGGCGAACCAAGGCTTCGATTTCTCCTCAAGAGCATATAAGACGTCATCCATCAAAGCATCCTCTATTGGCAAGTTGTCTTCATGTATCCTAGAACCTCCCAATCTCGAAAGGTGGTCCACAACCACATTTTCGGCCCCCTTTTTGTCTCTTATTTCATAATCAAAGTCTTGAAGAACCAACACTCATCTCAACAATCAAGGCTTGGCTTCCTTCTTGCTTACCAAATACTTGAGACCCGAGTGGTTGGTATACATTTTTGTCTTGGAGCCAATAAGATAGGCCTAAACCTTCTTAAAGGAATGAATGACCACTAAGAACTCGTTCTCGGTGGTTGTATAATTTCGTTGGGCATCATTGAGAGTTTTAGACAAATAGTGTATGACATGGAGCTTTCCATCCTTCCGTTGCCCTAAGACCAATCCGATCGCCTCGTCACTTGCGTCACACACCAATTCAAATGGTAGGGACCAATCGGGGCCTAGAACTATCGGGGCGGTGCATAAAGCTTCCTTCAACCTACAAAATGCATCATGACAAGTCTCATCAAATACAAACTCCTTATCTTGTTATAAGAGAGATGTGAGGGGCTTAGCAACGGCGATAGAAGCCGGCGTAGCCAAGAAAAGATCTTACCTCCCTCACATTGGTGGGAGGAGGGAGTTTCACTATGACCTCCACCTTGGCCCTATTCACCTCAATGTAGGCTTGGGAAATCTTGTGGCCAAGGATTATGCCACTCTCCACCATGAAGTGGCACTTTTCCCAATTCAACATGAGGTTATCCCTCTCACATCTTTCTAAACAACGAGATAAGTTGGCAAGGCAATCTTCATAGGTGACTCCCCTTACGGAGAAGTCATCCATGAAGACCTCTATATTTTCCTCAATCATATCACTAAAGATAGACATCATGCAATGTTGAATGTTGCGAGGGTAATATAAAGACCGAATGGAATCCTACGGTAAGCAAAAGTATTGTAGGGGCATGTAGAGGTCGTCTTCTCTTGATCTCTTGGGTCTATTGGGATTTGGAAAAATCCTGTATAGCCATCGAGAAAACAAAATAAGGCATGTCTTATAAGCCTTTCAAGCATTTGATCGATATATGGTGGTGGGAAATGATCTTTTGAAGTGCATGTGTTTAGTTAACGTTAGTCAATACACATCCTCCAACCTATGACAAGCCGGGTTGGGATCAATTGATTCTTATCATTTTCCACTACTGTCATCCCTCCTTTTTTTGGCACTATTGAACTAGGGACACCCAATCACTATGAGCTATTGGGTAAATGATCCACGCATCAAGTAGTTTGGAAACTTCTTTCCTCACCACCTCTTGCATGGAGGGGTTAAGTTTCCTTTGCCTTTTCCTACACGGCTTATCACCCTCCTCTAGATCGATTCTATGCATGCAAAGAGCGAGACTAATACCCTTAATGCCATCAATAAAATAGCCCAAAGCTAATTTATGTTTCCTCAAAACATCGATCAATAGAGAAGATTGCTTTTCCGTGAAGGGGGAATTAATGATAACAGGAAATGTGTTGTTAGAGTCAAGGAATACGTACCTCAAGCCTAAAGGTTGAGGTTTCAAGTCTACCTGTGGTGCTTCCTAACCTTGTAAAGCTTCTTGCTTATCATCTTCATGATGGAGGTCAAGTAGGGATGTGTTGCTTTCTTGAATTGGTTCTTCTACCTTCTCATTAAGCATTGCTTCATATGCAAGCACTTCCTCTTGTGAACGTATCTTGGGCACGTTCAACAAAACATTATCAAGAGTATTGTTAGGAACATGCATATGGAAGCGAGAGAAATCATCAAGCACGGTATCAATAACATTAATTCTAAAGCATTCACCACTTGAGGAGGGTTATTGCATGACATTATTCAAGTCAAATTCAATGGAATCATTGTCAATATTTAAGGTCATCTTACCCTCTCTCACATCAATGATTGCTCTAGAGGTAGCTAGAAATGGTCTACCCAAAATTATAGGAATCCTCTCATCCTCATCCATCTCTAGCACATAAAAGTCCACGGGAAATGTGAACTTTCCAACCCTAAGAGGAATGTCCTCAACCTTTCCCATGAGGAACTTAGTAGATCGGTCCGCTAGTTGGAGAGTGACATTAGTGGGGGAGAGGGTTCCTACACTAAGCTTTTGGTAGACGGAATAGGGCATGAGGCTTACACTTGCCCCTAAATCACACAAAGCCTTTTCAAACTCAACACCATTGATGGAACAAGGAATGGAGAAACTACCCAGATCTTTTAATTTGGTAGGAAGTTTGTTGGAAAGAATGGCAATACAATTTGCGATCAAATTCACAGTTTCACACTCCTTTCTCCCACTCAAAAGGTCTTTCAAGAATTTGGATTAGTGGGGAATTTTTTTCATAGCATCAACAAAAGGAAGGGGAACATGCAAATTCTTAATGACATCTAAACTCCCCAAATTGAGAATCGAGTTTGGATCTTACAAATTGTGAGGGGTCAGACAATTTCTCCTCTCTTGGTTGCTTGTTCAAGTGTAGGGGTGTTGCTTCTTTTGAGGAGTTTCTCTCTTGAACCTCATCAACTATCTCATCTTTATTCCTCACATCCTCAACCTCCTTATCCTCACTCAAATGCTCATTCACCAAAGGAGTATCATCATCACCACTCATCCCAACTCCCTCATGAGACTTCTACTCTACCATGGGGTCACTCCCTACCACCTTTTCACTCCTATTTGTCATGGAATACATAGGTTTAGGGATAAATCCTTGACTTGGAAGGGGGGAAGAAGAAGAAGAAGAAAAAGAAGAAGAAGAAGAAGAAGAAGAAGAAGAAGAAGAAGAACTAGATGCAAGTTGAGCAATTAAGTTTCTAGCATTTTCATGTGAGCTTTTGTTTGTTTTTTAACCTCTTCATGCATTTTCATCAAAGCATCAAGTTTAGCCATTATTGGGTCATTTTAAGGAGCCTCAAGTTGAAGAGGTTGTTGAGGTGGAGGAAGTTGGGGTTTATGGAAACCCAGAGGCCTGTTGGTTTGGGCATAGTGAGTAGAATTTTGAGCCTTATTGCCCCCGGTGCCTTGGTTGGAAACATTCCTTTGTTGATTGTTCCTCATGTTACTTTGATCACCAAAACCTTGGTTTTGATGGTCATAGTAACGGGAGTTGTAGTGTTGATTTTTATTACCATAGTCTCTTTGGTTAGGGTAGCCTCTTCCATTGTAATTGGAAGGGCCTCCCCCACCATGGTATTGGTTATCAAAACCACCACCACTTTGGTTCCAACCATGGTTCCAATTTTGATTCCAATTCCCCATTTAATTAGGATTAGGCCTCATGTTCCCCATATTCCCCATGCGAGGATTGTAATTCATAGCATTCACATGTTCAACATCATTGTAATTCTCATTCTTAAGGGAGGGGGATCGGGAAGCATTAAGAAACATGAAATATCGTGAATCATGATCATAACTACCACAAACATCACAAAATACACAAATACTTTGTTCTCAGATTGGTTATAGAATTAACACCCCTTTGTTTCTTTTGGATACCCCACAAAGAAACATTTGTAGATTTTGGTGCAAGCTTGTCAGACATAAGTCTCTTGACATATGCTTCGCAACCCCAAATCTTAAGAAAAGACAACCGCGAAGATTTCTTTGTCCATAATTTGTATGGAGTCTTTTCGACAGCTTTTGACGGAGCGCTGTTCAGTGTTAGTGCCGCAGTTTGAAGTGCATGTCCCCAAAAAGAAATAGGAAGATCGGTAAGACCAATCATGGAATGTCTAATAGAGTTTGGTTCCTCCTCTCGGATACTCCGTTCCATTGTGGAATTCTAGGAGGTGTCAATTCTGAAAGAATACCATGTTCTTTTAGATGATTGTCGAATTCATAGCTCAAATACTTGCCTCCTCTCCGATCGAAGAGCTTTGATTTTCTTGCCTAGCTGATTTTCCACTTCACTCTGCAATACTTTGAACTTTTCAAAGGATTCGGATTTGTGCGACATTAGGTAAATATTGCCATATCTACTATAGTCGTCCGTGAATGTGATGAAATATCGATAACCATTCCTTGTGGTTGTGCTCATTGGTCCACATACATCTGTGTGTATGAGACCCATTAAGTCACTTGCCCTTTTAT